CGCGCATTGCGTTTTCGATCCTATTGCCGCGCGCTTTATTTAACTTTTTCTCTCCTCGTGAGCGTAACCGTAGGTATAGATCGGCGACATTGGAAAATCGTCTACACCAAGCAGCGAGAAGGAGAGAGACATCGGCCTCGGAACGTCTGGCTCATCGCGGGAGAAAGGGAGCACGCAGGTCAGACAATATAGTTCCTACGAACGTTATCTCGATGTTATCTATTACGAGTTCGTTACTGTCGCCGACTACTTTCAGCAGACTACTTCCGAGAGTAAATACGGAGGCAATGGACTCTCACGATCTGGCCAGGATCGGGTTGCCGACGGCGAATTGTACGGAAGCGAGACGAACGAGCAGGGTCGACGCCAAAGCTCGATGAGGGACATGAGCCTAATTTAAAGTCCGCGCTACCGGTTGCGAGCCAGCTGATCACGTGCAACACCGCGATTCGCGGGCGTCGCGCTCGCAGGGCAAGGGCCAATCGGCGCACTATCAGCCGATCGCGTGACACCCTGCTGCCTGCGTGCTGCCGGAAGGACCGTCGAGCGACACTTGTGCTGTGGTCGCGCGTGGGACAGGACGCAGGATCCCGTGTAGTTGCCGAGTGCGAAAAACTTTGAGAGAACATCTTCCGTAGCTGCCGCTCTTGGTGAGACGAACGTTAGCGATTACCATTGTCCGCCGCCGGTTTCATTGTCGGGCGGATCGCGCTATTTCAGTTTCGTTGTCCGCGTAAATGTATGTTCGTGTGTAGAGTCCACGTGTGCCATCCGCCCGGCATAAAGTTACGCGAATTGAGTAGAGTATTTTGCGCTCGCCTTGCCACAGCCGGGTCACTTGTGCGTTAATTACATGTTATTTTGTGTTTCTTGCGCGTTATTGAGTGTTCGAATTATTGCGTGTTAGCGTGCCGAATGTCGGCAGTACTTAGAATTATCGCGACGCCACGTGGTGTGTGATCCGTCGTACGCCGTGCGAGGCGTACCCGCGTACAGCGACAAGATATTTTCGCGGATTTAAAGTCGAGAAAGAACAAAGCTCGTACACCCGTCATCTCCGGGAGCGTTCCCGGACGCGCGAATTGCGACCTCGGCGCTACCGCCGACGGCTGCCGCGGCGTTAGTCGCGGCCGAACGAATCGCCTGTGAATTCCAGCACACGCAAATATATCTGTTACCTATTACCAAAATTTTGAGTATTCTATCTCGCCCTTGCTCTTCCACATTCCTCCGCACCCTACGAACCGCCCCTCTACCGCGTTCGAGATTTCGATTCCGCGTAATAATTCGAAGGGTGGCACGCCCGCTCGTGCCTGGCGCCCTTTGCGTTTTCGATGGCCGTATAAGTTCGACCATTTTGCGCCCTAACTGTAGCGACGGTTCGGCGAAGTTCTTGCTTTCCGTTCGTGAAGGCGGCTGCAATATATATATATATATATATACATATGGTCCCCTCTTTAATCTAAGTACAAAATTTACAGATGCTGTTATTGAGGCACTTGACCAGGAATATTAATTATCGTCATATCATTCGATAATCGCGATCTTTCTGGCGCTGTATACGGACGGATTAGTTTTATACTTGCATAACTTTCGCTATGATTAATATTCAGATTCAATGGCTCTAGTATTGTAGTCGTAGTTTGTGTACTTTTCTCTCCAGCGAGAATTTCTACACTAGGTGTAAGATTTCGTGAGAGACTTTCGCATTCAATAGTTAATTGTTCAACTGGAAGAGGAGCAGTCTTATTTCTCCGTGCGAAAACTTTTATGATGCTTCTCCCTTCATTGGTACCTGCAGAAATATTTCATATTAATTTAGAATATTATATATTTTTATTAACATAGGTACATACCGTTACATGATTCACTTATTAAAGCTTCATCCTAAAATTTGAGAAGAAAAAAATATTAATAGATAAGAAATAAATATGTGTATATGTATATGTATATGTATATATCTCCCTATAAATGTATATAGGGAGATTTGTCATCACATTTCTAACAAAGATAAAGACTATATAATTAATATTAATATTTATATTGTGCACCTTTGTTGCTAAGAGATCTTTAATAGGTTTAAAGGGATTGGAATGTATAGACACTTTCGATGGTGTATTTGACGCGACAGACTGTTCCCGTTGGATACTCTTATATTGGTAGTTTTGCAACTGTTTGACCCTGCTGTTCAGAACAGCGTAATTCTTCACTATGGTATCCAATAGCCACCTGTCAGAAAATAAGTTCTGATCATCAATACGGAAATATATGCCATTAAACCTGTATTTCGTGCGTGTATTTAAATCTTCTTAAGCGCAATTTTAAGCTTACCTATATCCATCCTTTATGCCCACAATGCTACTCTTAGATTGTTCCTTGTCATAAATACAGGAACATGTTTCCACTCTGGTCGGACATTTCATAGCATTGGCAGCACGTTCTACATCCAGGTTTTCAACTATATCCAGCTCGTCGATAGCTCCATTCAGATCTTGCTTGTTGGCGAGTCTATGCATACATTACGAAAATTTGTATTTGAAATTTGCACCGATTACCACGCACAAGACTTAGCAACATTCTTGATCATTATATGCACACAAAATGATCTAATTTGCTTTTTGTATGTGCGCAAGCAAAAGTATGTGTATGTGTGCGTGTGTGTGCAGAGACATAACTTCAGATCCCTTACAACAATATTGGTTTCGTCGAGATATGCTCGTGTGTAATTAATTCGTTAAATACGACTTTATTTTCTGCAAGACGGGAAATATCGCTAGCATCCACCACGTATATAAGACCATGTATCTAAAATATGTCAATTGAGACATAAAATATAGTTTCTGTTTGCCATTAGCACTGATATATAGGGGAAACAAAATAATGTTAACACCTGCATAAGGTATTACTTATTTTACAATAGAATTTTACAATAGAATTTATTCGAACATGCCAGAGGATAAGACAGTTTTGGTAATCGAATAGTTAGTTTTTTATAATAGTTACTTTAGGATAATATCGAGCTATTATCCTAAAGTTATTAGTATCGATAATACTAGTTTGCAAAAAAATTTTTTTAATTATTTTGAATAGTATGTTTAGATAATATGTTTGTTATAGATATGTTATAGATTTTTAAATGCTAAAAATGATGCCTCAAACCAAACTTCACTAACATCTCAAGTTTTTAAAATAAATAACACTATGTACGAATTATATACGACTTCATTGACACAAACGAAAAATTTATTATCTTACAACAGCAAAACTCTATTTTAGATCCTTAACGTGGCTAAAAAGATATTAAAATAAAAGAAATTGAATTTTATAGGAGATGGGCAATTTATTCATGACTTCTGAATTTCAAGATAACGATTAATCTTTTGTAGAAAAAAAAATTTTAATATCGCAAAAAAGTTATTTTTGCACATTAAACCTCAATTATTTTGAATGTGCTAGTGAAGTTTGGCTTGCGGCATTGTTTTCAGCATCCAAAAATCTATATGAGACATATTATTTGATTCAAAATAATTTTTGTAAACTAGTAATATAAGAGCTGATGTATTTATTAGATCCAATAATAGAAACTGCTCAGAAAAATCGAGCATGTCGAGTTCTTATTATTCGAATGGTTCGGATTATAAAAGCTCAGCTATGAATTTGTATATTTGGAATTGAACATAAAATCGTTTTGTATAAATGGGGTGTGGATAAATGGAGTTTTATTGTATTAATAAGAGACTGGCTTACAGATTCTCTCTTTGTTGGAATAGAATCGTACAATGCTTGAATAGTCAGTGCAATATTATTATACTATACTTTTAGCAAAACTTTCAATTTCTTAATAAATATTAGAGGAGGAAATCTATTTCTCACTCTGCTCTTCAAAACTGCTGTAATGATTTGATATTAAAAAAAAAAATCAGGCGATTGGTGCTGGCTGGGAAAGATGTTGCAAATTTTGCAGAATAAAGGGAAATTTTGGAAAATAGGATGAGAAGCAAATTTTATCCTCCAATATTGCTATATAAACAATTAAAAAATGTTCTACTAAACGAATAGTTTTGAAACAGAAACGGCATTAATCATGTTCATCAATATCAACTTCAGTAGAACAGCAGTTCTTAGTGACTATTCAAGCATCATATTCCAATGGAGAATAGAATTGATATTAAAGGCAAATTGTGGGCCAACATCTTATTAATAAAATAAGTATTGTATTTCCAAGGTGTTCATATTGTTTTGTTCTCTCCCTGTAACAGCTAATTGTCAAATATATTTTTATCATAACATTTATTTATGACTATCCGTTTATAAGATCTATTCACTTACATCATTATAATATTTAGGCCACAATGCTCTAATCTGGGAGCTGCCTCCAAGATCATATATCTTCACGGAGTACGACTTGTGCTTTAGGGATACCGTCCGGAATCCTATCGTGGGCAACACATTCTGATCCGGATCTATAGAAAAAAAGGATTATGTATTGCATGAAAAGAACTGATACTGTAACAGGTAGCAATAGACTTTCCAAGGACTTCCACTTAGAATTAAATTTGTTTACAATATTATATATTATAAATTTGTTTACAATATTATATATTCTGACCATCTATAACACAAATTAAATTGAGAGAAGGCCAATATGGCCATAGCAGGATCTTGGTGCTTTTGATACTTTTTATGTGATTTTACATACATATTCTAGTTTCGCAGCAAATAATTCTTTATATCGTGTCGTGGGATTTTACTAGATGCTACAGATGAGCATCAGTACTTATTAAATTGATTATCAATTTAATAATCGTGATAATAAAGTTCTGTTTCAAGCAGAGCTGTGTTGAATCCAAAAGTAACGGCATGCAATTTGTTGAAATTAGAATATGTATGTAAAATCACATAGAAAATATTAAAAGCACCAAGATCCTGCTATGACCGTATTGGCCTTCACTTAATTTAAATTTTTTTAATTCTTAACAATTAATTCTTAAAAAATTACCGTTATTAATATGATTCAGTATCATGGACTTCCCGGCATTGTCCAGTCCCACAATGAGCAGGACAATGGTCCTGAAATCATGAAAGAAGTATGTAAACAAAAAGACGTCAACCCTCGTCCCCCCTCTCCGGGAATTCCCTATTCTTCGCGTTCATGAATAATGCGTACTTTTCCGCAGCGCGGTTCCTTTGCAGCCTCCTCAGCACGCTTCTGATACAATTACCCATCATGGGAAGAGAGAGAGAGAATCGTGATCCCATGCATCCCATGCTTCTCGCTTCTTCTGTCTCGCTAATTGCGACTTCTGTCATTCATCGTGATTAATCCCGTGTAATCGGTATTCGGCGTCGTGTGTATCATCAGTCATCACACATACGTGACGTACGACGCGTGGCGTCAGGGCCGTCAAGCGTGGCGGCCATGTGTAAAACACTCGAGTACAGGATGTTCCAAATATAGGCAGTCATCGCGTCTGTCATCTGTTTTCCGTTTTCTGCCAAAAATATTCATTTATATATCCGTTTTCGGACGGAACGAGTTTAAAGGTGCCATTTCATGCGCAGTGTGCAGTCGCAGCAATTCATTACTATTGGTTAAAAATGTTACGTAGATAACGCACTTCCGGCGCAAAATACATTTTGCCACATCTTAAGGTGCCTTTTCATACGCAGCACGCAGCAGCAGCAAAATATCACGTGATTCAAATTTTTCAAAACCGCTTTCGCCGCATTTGCTGCGCATGAAAAGGAATTTGCAGCAACATATTAAAACATTTAACCTCAATATAAATATAAGTATATAGCGACATAACCGCAA